ACNTGAGATTAACATTTCGAGATACCTTTTCGTCTTTTTTGTGTCTAGAAGTTACTTCTTCGCATGATCTACACATCATTGTAAAGAATTATTTCCTTGAAATTGATTGTTTTTTTCCTTTATTTGGAAACACATTTTTTGTATCAAGATGCAGAAATAGAAAGCCAATGGACCATACACTTTTCATACTTTGTATTCGATAAACACATCGTTGAGTTGTTAGGCAGTTATCTACAAAATCGAAAGCAAATTGTGTATATATGGATGGTAGATATTCAGATGCTTCAGCAGTTAGTTTTGAAGTCCCTCAGGAATCAATTCTTGAACCACTTCTGTTTTCAATATACATTTTAGATTTCCATGACATAATATTCAGTACAAATGTATGCGGTTCTCTTATGGTGTAAGAAAGTTTGATGACATCTCAGCTAAATTAGGGGAAACTGGCTGGCTCATACTCATTTTAATTAGGCAACTCCACCTTCTTGTTACAACTCACAAATTTATCTCTCAAAGGAAACCTTACTATTTATTTAAAAGATACGTAACATTTGAATCACGGATTCAATCTAAAACCAGAAATATTGGTAAATTCATCATCCCCAAACACTCCACAGCTTGTTTCACTCGAAGTTTTATATATAATTCAGTTATTCTCTATAATACACTTCCCAGTGACTTCAGACACTACACGTTATATAACTTCAAGAAGAAATTGAAACTGCACTTGAAATTAGCTGGATAATTGGATGCCGCTAAAGCTCTCTTTTGTGATATGTTATTGTAGATTTTTCTTTTGTTTTTCTGTCTATTATTACATTTTATACTTTCAAATATTCTTTCATAAGTTAACTATTTGAATGTCTGTGTATATTTGTGTCCGTTCAACTAGGTTAAGTTGAACTTCGCCTTTCACTGTTATTTTTGTTTTTGTATGTTATTACTCGAAGCCAATTATTATTATTGAAACCCTTCTTTCTCCTAAAAATACACCCTTTTCAATTCAAAAATCAATTTTGTTCATAAATTAATAAAGTTATCGATGGTTAGTACTTGACTATGTGTATTTTGTACTTTCATTATCGTCATTTTAGTTTCATATTTAATCAAGAAGCATCAGCAGTGCAATCAGTAATATCAAATGATTTTTCATTTAGTTTTTGTGACATATTTTTCTTTAGTGGTGCTGATTTTTTTTACATTTTCCTATTGTTCTCCCTATGTACTTGTTATCTTTTTCATCATCATTTATTAAATTTCGAAATATTTCAATTGGTTAATAATCAATTGAATTATTTTACCAATTCGTCTATCATATAATAAGTTTTTCATCAACCATTTGATGGTATTCTAGAAATATCATCACCCCATCAGCTGCGAAGAACACTTCAGGTATGGTAGTGACCATTTACTGTATTCTATAAAGTACAACTCATTCTCAGTTTGATACGGTTGGATTGTTTATGTTTTTGTTTCTGTCCCATATGTACTTAATTAATGAAAATGAAGAAATTATTGGGTGATGACATGTGACTGGAATATAATAAACATATTTTCATATAAAACTGAATTTTCTGAAGTTGAAACACAACTTAATTCAAGTTCAGATTTTTATCTGTATCTCAATGAAGTGAAGTGAAACAGACGCTTTCTGAATTCAATATTGTTATGGAAAAAACTCTTTTCTGTTTCACATGACTGAATTAAGGGGATAGATGGAAATATACTTTTCCTTTACTTTCCACGGAATTTCTTCAGAGAAAATACAGAAAATCTTTTGAGTTTGCTAAGCTACTGAACCGATTGTAACACGGTTGCAGTCAATCGTGCGGTTGTAGTCAATCGCGCACATCATTTAGCTTGGAGAAGAATTTTCATTGGATTTATGTGAATATACAGGATGGCCAAACGAAATTCTCAGTACTTTTTCATAGGAAGGCATATCACTAGTCACCAAACGGTTGCTACCAACTTTTAACGAATCAAAAAAAAGTCTTGTGATACCCCAATTAATAGTTATTTCAATTCTGTATTATTGTTAGAAACCATATCAGCCGTTCATGGGTAATTTGCAGTTTTATATTCGTTTGAAGCATCTATAAACGAGAAGTATCATAATTTCGAAAGGAACTTTGTTCCATACTCAGTCATTTCAATGAATGGCCAAAAATTGTATCATTCACTTCCTGACAATAATAAAGTCTGTTAACGAATTTATTTTTTGCACATAAATCCTTGAACTGCTGATTATTCAGAAACGACTAATGCAATTTCCAAAAGTAAAGCAGTCTTCAATAGATAATTAATCGAAATAACAATCAAACGGAAGGTCACAATCCTCCCACTCCTATTTGAAAAAAGTAGGTAGCGCCCTCTCGATAAATTGTAATGCAAAAACACTTCGTTTTTTTATCAGAAAGTTACGAAAATACACCTTTCTACATACATTTTGTTTGAAGCTTTTGCTGTTCAAAAGGAAGAAGGGTCAATTTTTACGTCCGGACTGTGCGTAAATACCTTATTACCTTCATGTTTACATCCAGCAAACATATCTGAATCCACATGTTAATGTGCACAAGCTAAAAGGAAGACAGTAATGATTTATTAAATGTGAGCTGTACTTACATTTCGATTATTTAAAATCCTTTATTCAAAGGCTAGGTTAACTATATATTATTATCATCTTTGTTCACTCACCCTGCTCTTGCATCTTCCACAACTTCTAGTGTGAAGAATTTTTGACAACAAAAATTTATATATAATTAGTTATAGGAGGAAGTAAGATATGAGTATCCGACAGAAATCACAGGATGTAGTGATAAATTCTATCTTATATTTTTCATAACACCTCTGATTCATTTTTGATTTTCAATATGGAGTAAATTCTACTGAGCTCAGTCGACATGAAAGCAAACCAGAAATATACTGAAGAAACATTTTTTTTTCTGCTGGGAAGAGAAAATAAATAATTTTCATGAAAAATATTCCATAGCAACAGTGACAGATTCTTTAAAAATTTTCGGTGAAAAAGATTATACAGAAAACAAAGATTTAAATACCTATATCTCAGTTCCATACCAACAAGTCATGCACTACAGAATTGAGGATGTACCGTAGTTTCATAAAAGTTTAGTAGCTGCTAATTATGATCGACTAAGTACTTGAGTAGGTGGTCCCAATTGTGATTACGTGAAGTATATGAATATTAAGAAAAGTTTGAGGATTAAGTGGTCAGCCCACAGTGGCGTGACTATACCGTTCGAGGTCCGTGGCAAATTCATCGGATGGGCCCCCTCCCCCCAATATAAAGAAGCTGAACCAACAATAATAATACTTTTTCATTTTATAATACTTATATAGTTTTACTTGTAATACTTATAACTTTATAATTATACATAGGTACTTGATTTTCTAATAATTCACTTTAAATTAAAATTACCTAATTTAAAGTACAGTCAACATCTAATTGATATGGGCACATAGAATAGTCAAAATTATTGGAAAAACAAAAAAGCAATTTGATATACGCAGTTCGAATCATCATATTGTTGTAAGCACACAAGGTGTTCAAAATGTAAAATGTTAATTATTAAAATTCCTTCCTTCGGACTTTCTGTTCAGCAAAAGTGGTAATGACATCATCAAAGTTTAAGTTTTGGGGCATATAATTTTTGATGGATAGAATAGTCAAGTTGCTTAACCTGTCTTGTCCCATAGAATTTCTTAAATAAGTTTTAGTCAATTTCAGTATTGAAAATGATCGCTCGTCACTAGCCCTAGTCACAGGAAAGGTGAGAAATAATAGAAATGCAGTGCACACTGCAGGAAAGCTTGAAGATATAAAATGCTTTTTTATCATTATTACGTCAGTAAGTTTTCCTATAGAAGATGATGTTTCTATTCCGTGTCTAAAAAGCGAATGGAAAACTAAGAATTTCCTTGGAAAACGAAATGGATATATCTTCTGTATATAGATGGATAAATGCTAAAGCCTTTTCCAATAAATCAGTATCATTCAAAATTTTGCAAAGTGGCAGGTTGCAAGACACTGAAATTGGAAACAATTTCATTCATTTCAAGGAAACGCGATTTCAGTTGATTAATGATTATGTCTAATACACGATAGAATACGTTCACTTCAAACAAGCTTCCAGGATCTTGGAGACGTTCATCCTCACAAATTTCATCAAAATGACGTTTCATTTTTCTCTGACGAGTTTTGGAAAATTCAGGGTTCATAGACCATTTCACTGTAATACTATTTGCTTCCGTTTTTAAATTTTCAAATTCATGTCGATACTTTTCAAGTTGTTCTAGACAGACTTGCAGCATTGGAAAAATCGATGGCTTTAGAAGCCGCGTCTATTTGTTTGTAAGACTTTGCAGTGGAAAACCAACAACATAATAACATTGTAGTTTTCTATCTTCTTCTTCAGCAAGGTAGCTTCATTTCTTGAAATTCCCCGAACATCCGCAGTAATACTCGTACCAACACGCGTGCCGAGCATTTTATTATCTATCGGATACGTTTTGAAACTGGGTTACAACTTTTTTTATAAATACAATTTTTTACTTGTGTATGCAACTGAGTAGGTAACAAAAATAAATCAAAGACAAAACTTTTTTTTACTAAACATGTATAATAAATGATAAATGTTGGGAGTTGGGATTCTCCTCTGACCGGGGGCCCATTTGCCGACTTGCCACCCTGTAGTTATGCCACTGTCAGCCCATTTAATGCACGGGCGCAGAAATATAAGTTAACTTGGGAATGGTTTAATGAACCGAAACCGGTTATAACAAATGAAAATCACAGTAGAAATCAGACGAAAGTTATTTCCTCTATTCTATATTTAATATGAATTTCCACAAAATAATTAGGTCATCAATCGACCTTCTAATGAAAACTCGATGTGACACGCATTGCATATAGTCTTTTCAGCTTACCTAACAGGACCACAACGTACACAGAACTGCTTTACCCGATTACAATTCCTTACCTCCCAAATCAGCTTGAAGTCATGCTGTTCGACCCTGAGAAGCTCACAAGTGGTTTGGGTCACGACCGTGCTGTCTCTCGGCAAATCCTGCAGGATGGACTCTCCGAACGTAGCTCCAATTCCCAATGTGCAAAGGGCGACCGGATTCTGGAACGAAACAGAATTCACAATTAAATGGCATCTTTGGAGTTTCTTTAGTGAGAATTGATTCAGCTGGAAGGGCTTTTTTACTGTAGGTGATATGGAGGAATGAATGAATATAACAAAATGTTACCTCTAATAAAAGTAGATTTGTGAAGTTGTTCTGAAAAACGGCAATGAATGGGGAAAATAATGATATGCAGACATGCAAATATGTTCAATATGATTTTGATAATTGATTTTTCAACTAATAATTAGTTTCAAAAACAAGCACTTTCTGTATTCATCAGAAATGAAATACTCACCTCCACGGGCGTTTCCCCAGTTTTCTTCATCTCCTGGAAACGCGTCTAGAAGAGTATCGCATTTGTGGTGAATGAGAAAAGTGCTTATTTTTTGTGTTCAGTCTACGCCAGAGGTTCTAGTTTCACTTTCTATTTTATGATGAATAGTTACTTTATTCCATATACAATATTCCAATTTTTTGTTAGATCGTTATTGTGTACGTTCCAATTTGAATTTTTATGAAGTGTGATATCTGGATAATTACCAGTTTAAAAAAATCATGATTTGGTAGAGCTATAAAGGGAATAAAATGTGCTTATCTTCAAACTGATATTGAGTAACTTACTGTTGATGCATTGAATGGTTGTCTATGAACGCTATTGTATAGCGAAATGAGTTTTTGTTTAAGTGTTGAGTGAAAATCTCACAATATAGTTATTTATGATAGGAGTGTTGAATATAAGGTTTTATTTTGTGAGTGAAAAAGTTTGCAAACCGAGTGTAGCGAGTTGAGCAATTTCATTAACAAAATAAAACTTACTTTTAACACAAATATCATACAAAGTTTTCTGTACATCTGTCCCATTTTTATAATACCGAATTTCTCACATCTTTTTTCTTGTAAGTAGCAGAATTATTTCATCTTTTAGTAATGTAGTCACTAGACATAAGGATTCATTAATATTTTGTATTTTACACTTCGCTGAATGTTTTCTGAAATTATAAATTGTATTGTAGACATCAGACATGAGCATTTAAAAATACTTTGTAGTTCCTCACACTTTGTTAAATATGTATGTGTCAGGTGACGCCAAATCACCTGGTTACCAACAAACGTTTTTGCTTACAGCTCACGCGTTTTATTTAAAGTCACCTTTGAAGTTCTTGCTGGTGTTCAATGTCTTGCATAATACAAAAGAATAGTGAGCAATTATGTGTTCCTGACGATATTGAAGAGGCTGCAAAAATAGCTTTAATTGAATTGTTACCAACAAAATCGANTATATATATGTATTATTTATTGCTATTTGGTAGAAAAAACTCGTGTTGAAAATACTTTTAACACTAGTGTAAAAAATATTTTTAACACGCTATTTTGTGAACATAAGCTTTTAATACTCTTGACAACCATTACAAATGTCACTTTTGAAGACAGTTGTACAAAAAAATGTTGTTGATTATATATTGTCTTTGATTATATTTAACTTGAATCAATTCTTACAGAAAAGTGTACTCGAGCCTTAATTAAAATTTCAATTCTTTTCTATAGTTCGAAAGTGCAATCAGAGTGTGGAAGTGTCAGATTTTTGATTTAATGTAGGTAAATAATATTCAATTAGATACCGTTCTGACTCCAGTAGAATTTTTTAGTTTATACATTGGTTTGTCAATTGATTCCCACACCCACATTTAAGGATATTTTTTCGAAAACATGAGACAGTGATGGTCAAATGACGGTGATGAGCAAATTATGAGCAGTTGTATGGATGTTGAAGGTGTCCAATTTATCACTAACAGAAGTATACTTTTTCATTTTTAAGCATCAATATTGAAAAAAAAGAAGCTGAATTCTTCAATCATATCATCATGTTGGCACATAGTTGGACATATTTGCACATGTCTTTGTTCTCTTTGCATTTTAGCATGGTGAATATAATTTTGTANTATTTAAATAATGAATATAAGAAACAACTACATTTGGCATCTAAACAATTTTACGATAGTAAACAATCAAGGCAGAAAATAAAATAAAAACGACATGGGAAATTATCAACAAATTACAAAAAAAAATAATCAAAATGATTTGCCATTGGCAGCGCAAATGCTAGTGGACGAATTTTCATTAGTCAACGAATTCAATTTTAACTTCACCAAGGCACCTGTGGCTAACTTAGTGTATGACATAGACTTCGTAAATAAGAATGTACCTCTGTACTCTAACACATTTTATATGTCCCGAATCACAGAGAATGTCAACATCCCTTGACATGGCTGGATTTAGTAATACTTTTCTGAAACAAATTAGTCTCAGAATGTGTAAACCGATAAAATTCCTAATTAACCTGTCAGCACAAAAGGAGATTTTTTCAGAAAAACTAAAATACGTGACGGTGTGTCCAATATTCAAAAAAGGGGACCAGAATGATCTATAATATGGAACATCTGGATAACAACAAATTTGTGCTGGGCCTATTTCTAGACTTCTCACCCGCTTACGACTGCCTCGATCAGAAACTACTGATTTCTAAGTATTCCTTTACCTTCAAAAGTCTTTTCTAAGCAATCGAAAGCAAGTTGTGGAACTTAATCAGTTCTAATTTCACTAGTTCGGACTTCCATTGTCTACTATATAAAATGATTTGAAATCCCTGAAACAAGTAGAAAAGAATAATTAATAAAAACTCATACGGGACAGTATCTGAACCACGAATCCAACCACCATCAATCGTGTTGAAAGATTATTGGCAATTCTAGAAAAAAAGAATAATTTCTTTGAAATTTTTTTATGAATATACTCGAAATGTACATCAAACGATAGAGTGTTATCTATCTGGAATCCCAGATATTTAGTTAAATTCACTATTTCAATTTTGTCATCATCAATGTTGTCATCATCAACGAATTCATGTAAACAGTGATGTGTTTCATAAACAACCGATTTTGTATGGCCCTATAGGAAGGGAGGAGATTACAACATGAATTTCTCTATAGTTATAACAATGAAATTAGTAAAAAAACCCGACGGGGGCAAAACAAGGAACACCTTCATGAGTTGTAGATATACACCTTCATTGGTTGTGGATATTGGTGTTTCAGATCACTTCCTGCAGTTTCCAACTGTGCAAGTAATAGCCAGAACATGAAAACTGGTCCAATGTCTACATTCATGACTGTCCTATTTCAGCATATGACACATTTTCAGTGAGCCTTTTCTATCACTCAGAAAATTGCTTTTAATTAGAACTGTGTTATGACAGATGAAATAAAAAGAACGAAAGCTATATTGTTGGAGCCTAGAACTATAAGACCTGAAAAATAACCTAACCTGCTTGCTAGCCAAGATTGCAGATTTGGAGATATCAGTAAATATCTAAATAATGAATATAAGAAACAACTACATTTGGCATCTGAACAATTTTACGATAGTAAACAATCAAGGCAGAAAATAAAATAAAAACGACATGGGAAATTATCAACAAATTACAAAAAAAATAATCAAAATGATTTGCCATTGGCAGCGCAAATGCTAGTGGACGAATTTGCATTAGTCAACGAATTCAATTTTAACTTCACCAAGGCACCTGTGGCTAACTTAGTGTATGACATAGACTTCGTAAATTAGAATGTACCTCTGTACTCTAACACATTTCATATGTCTCAGCTTGAAAATGTCAACATCCCTTGACATGGCTGGATTTAGTAATACTTTTCTGAAACAAATTAGTCTCAGAATATGTAAACCGATAAAATTCCTAATTAACCTGTCAGCACAAAAGGAGATTTTTTCAGAAAAACTAAAATACGTAACGGTGTGTCCAATATACAAAAAAGGGGACCAGAGTGATCTATAATATGGAACATCTGGATAACAACAAATTTGTGCTGGGCCTATTTCTAGACTTCTCACCCGCTTACGACTGCCTCGATCAGAAACTACTGATTTCTAAGTATTCCTTTACCTTCAAAAGTCTTTTCTAAGCAATCGAAANTAAAGACATAATAAAAAATATACAAGGATGACATTGTTAAATATCGAAATTAAATTAAATAACTCTTGCAGCTTGTAGTATACGAAACATTTGTAATGCAATTTTTTTTGTACAATAAAAACTCTTCACTTCTTTTATACCATCAACATTTGTGTACGTGTTGGAACAGTTCTTAAATTCATCGGAAGGTGGCATTGCGAATGAGCGTCGATATCAGATTCGAAGAATATACCTTCCAGTTTAAGCAATTATCTAATTTCTTCCCTGAAATTCAAAATGGGGACTAGACTTGGGAATGGAGGTATATATATTTATAAATGAGAAAGTCACTCACTTTACACCCACTCATTCATCTCTGTTTCTCTGGTAAGTCCAAGAAAGCTGAAATTTGGTATATTTTTGCTTCCTAAGTCTAAAATGCACACTAAGAAATGATTTACAAATATTCCAACTGGGGCGCCCCCCGTGGGGGTGAAAGGGGCGCGTTTGCAAATAAAAATTACCTTTTCAACACTGTTTCTCCGTACAGCTACATTTTCGGAGGCTGAAATTTTGTACGTAGGTTGCCTTCATGTTGTAGATGTGCAATAAGGAAGGATTATCAAATATTCTTACTGGGGCGCCCCCTGGGGATAAAAGAGGCGCGTTCACATATTACCTTTTCATCACTGTTTCTCCATACCTGTATTTTCAGAAACTGACATCTTGTTAGTAGGTTCGTTTCATATTGTAGATGTGCACTAAAAAAGGATTTTTAAATATTCCAAATGGGGAGCTAGCCGCTGAGGAAAAAGGCGCGTTCATGAAACAATATTATATTGTCATCACTGTTTCTCCATTCCCTTAAATTTCCGGTGGGTGATTAAGCATTGTCTTTTTTTACAGCGCCTAGAAATAACCTTTGAATTCATATATCAAGATTAACACAGTCGATTTTTCAAGTCCAAACCTATGATAATTCACAGATATGATTCCAATTGTGTCTATGAAAAAGTGATAGATGAACGGTCTAAAATAGCACTTCTGAAGATTTTTAAAATACTGAAAATCGTAATTGGTCTGTAATTAGAAATTATTTCATAATTACCATTTTCATGGATTGGTACAACATCACCTACTTTTTTGATACTTGGAAAGCCGCCCTATATTGAAAGATGAATTCACTGAATAGGTCAGGGTTGAGAGATTGATATGCTATTGAATCTCTGGATTTGGATTTGCATCACATTTGACCGTTACTTCATACCTGAAAGGGATATTATCAAGCGCAAGGAACTTAGTTTGCAACAAAGTTCAGATTAAGCCCTAAGGTCTTTATTTCTTCTCTAGTCTCCCAGAAC